AATCATCTTTCCTCGTAGCTCATACCTCTCAGCTCTGGGACTAGTCTGGTGACATACCTCTGAAATGTCGCCAGATTCGAATTGTGTTTAACGACATAAGGACTTCACACTAGTGTCACATATTTCAGAGTTGGTCGGATATAAACGATGTACAAGATTTTGAAAGGCTGTTCAGATTCCTAAAGGCAGTTCCTATATCAGCCAACCTTCTGTATGCAGCTGGTGGTATTCTTTTAAAGTCATTTTCTCCAGGTCATCTTGTAGTTTCATGCAGTCTCCCATTGTAGTTATCGTCATAATTTTTGCATCATCAGCGAACACCGAGAAGAAGGGATCTATCCCCCCTGGTCGGTCGTTCACAGAGATTAGGAATAGGATCGGCCCCAGAACTGATCCTTGTAGTAAGCCACTGGTAACATTCTGCCATTCTGACGTCTCTCCTTTCCCTTAACTCATTGTTTCTTGTTGCAGAGGTATTTCTTATTGTATCCACTGGAGAACCTTCCCTGATACACTCGTCTGTTTCTCCATTATGTACACTAGACTTTGGTGGACCGTGCCGAAGGCTTTCTGACAGTCCAAGAATATACAATCCGCCCACCCTTCTCTGTCTTGTCTGATCTCAGTCGCCCGTTCATAGAACTCTTATCAAGGTTGTGAGGCAGGATTTGCCACCCCGGAAACCATGTTGGGGGTTGTTATACGGTCCCTTCACATGTTCTACTAGATTTCTTGTGATCTTTTCCCATCACCTTGCATGATATGTAAATAAGGAACCATGTCTGTAGTTTAATAGGTCCTCTGTGTTTACCTTTTGCTTATAGACCCTACATTTGCTGTCTTCCAGCTCTGTGACATTTCTGTTTCCAGTGACGTGATGTATCACAGTAAGGGGCCAGCACGAGGCTTCAACGTCTCATAGAATCCATGGTGATATCTGGTCCCACATCCTAAGTCTGGTATAGCTCCATCGAGTGCTTTTTTACTTCATCTCATGTAGTCTTCGACTGACTCAATATGCTCCCAATAGACAGCAAGACACATAGTATTTGGGTACGTGCTGATATTGTTTCATATTAGAATATGTTGCCCTGGCAATGCTCGGTAACACATGCATGCATGCATAACACGGTCCTGATTCCCTCTGCCTTGGCGTAGGGACGTACCACAACTGCCTCAGTGCTGATCCTACTGTCCAGGGCGACGGACCGCGCACTCCCCCAGTATCAAGGACTCGCTCCACTCAGGACCTTGCTTGCGCCTCGATACCTCGATCTACGGCTGTGATAATAACACAATAAAATAAGGCAGCAGTGATTCAAGTTGCTGGTGTTTAATACTCCAGTCTTTCCGTGTTATCTTGTAACTATTCTGACAAGTGAAAAATGTTTTGTCAACTGTTCACACGAGTGAGTATCAGTGGTGGATGTGTAGGGAAATGGTTGATAATGCTGTATAGCCTGCTGCAGGCGTAATCAGGCCATGCCTGTCTCGTGTGGACAAAGTTCACCTGGCGAAGGGTTTGTGATCGGAAGATGATATCAGGCAGTATCTGGAGTATGCAGGGGAGAAGTGCTGTGCTGCTGCTGCTGGTGTGGAGCACCTGGCTGAACCTCGTCCAGGCTATCTTTGAAGATATCGGGGTCACCCCCATCAATACCGCTGCAATTCGACTGGGTGAAATATCCTTCATGCAGTATGTCTTGGGTTGCATAATATTCCTGCAGTTGGTGATACTGTACACGAAGGGCGTATTGCCAGTGGAGATCGACCTGAGCTTCGACAACCCCAACGGAAGCCTCGTGGGCAGGGCGCGCAGACCTGATGCCACCGTGAGTCTCCTCAACATTCCACTCAATTTCAGAAACCTAATTACTTTTACCTTTCAGTATTTGTTTCTGTAAGGTCCTCTCATCTATATACAATAACGATATACACCAGCCTCACTAAGGTCAGGTAACGTAGGTGGATGACCGGGCGTAGTGTAGGATCGTGGAAACACGCCAGCACAATAATTGGGCCTGATTCAGCCCCATTTTTTTCGGTTTAATAAAGAAAGCAACTTTATTGTTCATTTCAAGAGAGCAACAGTATTCGTTTGACTCTTGTTTGCAGGGTAATTTTTTTGTAATTCCCTATCAATATCCCCATTCATATACTTGTACACTTCAATCATGTCTCCTCCCCACCCCCCAAACTTTTCGCCTTTCTAGAGAATTTAAATTAAGCTTTCTCAATATTTATTTTTATGGAAGAATTCTAATTCCTAGGTTTAACTTTGTCATCCTTCGCAGGACGCGTTCAAGTGAATTTTTCCACTACAGTAAGAGGGCCTAACATGAGCAACATAGAGCATAAAAATAACCATAGATGTTATATTGCTAACTTCTAGAAATGAAGCCCAATGGCCTATTTGCCTCATGTTGAACATTTATGCATAGATTTTATGGCTTTTAATTCCTTCCAATCATGACCCTCCTCAGATATTTTTCGCAATCAGATTTCCCAATTTCAATACATCCAGTAACTATTATCAGTACCTAGCCTCAGAACACTATTCGTCAGCATTAAACTGCACCTCCCAAAATTTTGACAATTTCAAAAGCCTATCTAGATCTTTTGAAGTAATTTCGAGTCTTCTGAATTTATTTTTCCCGCTGAATTTTCGTATAGTTTGCAAATCTATAATTACACAAGCTGACTAGGGTGTAGTCTGGAAATATTTCAATTAACTCTAGCTGAATCTGAGATTACAGGCTGACCTTACCAAGGAGGTTCCCATGGTGATGCATGGTTGTACTTTCTCTGGGCGTTACAATATATGTACGTTAGTTTTAACTCAAATTAAAAAAAAATGAACTCATACATAATGAAATGGATAGCTTTATAATTTCACAAAAAAATTCAAAATATAAATTCAGAGAAACTTGGCTTATTAGGTAAATCGGGCTTTGCGTAGTAGGCAGAGTACTGCGTTCTGGCTACTAAGTACAATATATATATATATATATATATATATATATATATATATATATATATATATATATATATATATATATATATATATATATATATATGTAACAAAGAAAGGGGGTGGTAGAAGTGAACACTCATACGTATTCAGAGTTAAATGGCAAGTTTTTCTCTGAATGCTCTTATGCTACGTTGTGAATTAGGCCTTTGGGTCCTTTGGCCAGATTCACGAAGCAGTTACGCAAGCACTTACGAACCTTTACATCTTTTCTCAATCTTTGGCGGCTTTGTTTACAACTTTTAAATAGTTAATGAGCTCCGAAGTACCAGGAGGCTGTTTATAACAATAACAGTTGATTGGCAAGTTTTCATTCTTGTAAACTGTTTACTTAATGTAACCAAAGCCGTCAAAGATTGAGGAAAGCTGTATACGTTCGTAAGTGCTTGCGTAACTGCTTCGTGAATCTGGGTTCTGAATAATGGAACAGGCGAGATAGCACAACCCTAATGAGCGTGTATTTTGTGTGAGTGTTTTGTGCTGTTTGAAAGCCTATCATCCTCTGGCTAATCAGTAAGTATACTTTAGTTTCTGAAGATTCTCCGTTGATTTAACATTGATAGCATTGATTCTCCGTTGACTTAACGTTGATTCTCTGTTGATTCTAGTTTTTTTTACCATTGATAACGTTGATTCTCAGTTGATTTAACGTTGATTCTCAGTTGATTTAACGTAGATTCTCAGTTGATTTAACGCTGATTCTCAGTTGATTTGCCGTTTATAGCATTGATTCTACATTGATTTAACGTTAATCGAACATATTTTGCCCCTTAGCAAATCTGCAGTCTTCAAGGGCGGCACTGGTAACGAGTATTGGCGCTTGTTACAGCTGTAATGATCCTGGAAGTTGATTATTGTACTTTGGTGGTGGTAATGGTGACCATCCGTCACTCGAAACAACCTGTCCTTTTCTCCTATTGGAAGGGTAAACCTTACCTTACTACGGGCTCACCATAGCCCGTGCTGCTTGGAACTTTTTGTTCCAGGTAGCGAATCTTTAACAACAACAACAACAGGTGAACTTTCCACCACCGCCCACATGATGGGTGCTTGCCTAACAGTACTAACCTATAAGTGACTATGGGGAAGTATATCTAATATCCCCCGCCTACTAGCCTTGCTGTACTTGTTTCATTATAATTTAACTATTCTGACGTTCCAGTAATCCCAGCTTGTTCCAGGTTGTACACTAGCTTTCCGTGATGAACAGTATCAAATGTTTTTTGGATGTCTTAAGAAAATGCTACCCAGACTTCTTTTTTTTCTGTCGCATTTTAATTATCTTGTAATAAAACTAGATCAAGATTGCCAAGAATGACTCCACTCTTATAAATCCATGCTGCCCTTCCGTCGGGAAGCTTATCCTTGGTGTTAACTATACTCAACTTGATTGTGTTCCGTCACTTTACACTGAATGCACTGGTCTGTAATTTAGTGCCTCTTATTTGTTCATTTTATTTAATATTGGAACAACATTTACCTTTTTTTCCAAAATTCTGGGAGATGTCCTGTCTCAAGTGTTTTATTGACAACTCTCAGTTAGCGGGTGACAAAGAACCTCTGCAGCCTCCTTCTGTAGCCAGGGGACTATTTAGTCTGGTTCTCTTGTTTTTGCTGCATCTAGATCCTCCAGGTGTTTTTTAAGCTCCTCCACAGTGACTGCTGTGTTGTCCAGTGTTACCTCTAGCTCTTCATATCTCAACCCGTCTCTACCCACTGGGCGGGTGTCAGGGACGTTTAATAAACAAATGAAACACGGCATGTAAACAGTTGAACACGGCATGTTAACAGTTGAACGATAATGGAATATGGGATCCGTCTCCACCACCCACCGTATAAGTATGGGATCGATAATAAACTAAACTGAAACTAACAACCAAGTGCTGGTGAATCGCCAGGTTCTCGCAATATACTTGAGTATTCTATATGTCACTTGGTTACTAATTACATGAAAACCCTATACAGTAAAAATGATGACAATCAACGATCATACTGAAATATTTCCTGTCAGTTTTAAATAATTTAGTCGTTTTCGTTTTGTATATAAAAATCAACCAGTAAAAAGTAAACCTTTATAATTCCTAGATTAAGGTTAAGTGAAACATTTGAGAGGATTAATGGTACCAGGCTCTTCCCAGTGTGAATATAGAGGGGCGGGTCCTGCCTTGCATCACCACTGCCGGCCACCACATCACATCCTCAGTCGTGGCCATACACTCCTTCCTTCTCGTAGTGTTATATCCTCTCACGGCAACTGGAACGTGATGGGTTAAATTCATAAACTGAAATAAGGAAACCAACAGAACAATGAACTGAACTGCTGTTGCCTGGCAATTAAGTTGCTAAAATATTGTAGTGTTTTAAGTTTGTAGATGATTGCGTGGGTCAACTATTTACGGAAGTGTTGCGACAGTGGTGAGAGTGTGGGAGAACACCCGGGTAGGCTAGGCTAGGATTCCCAAGACTATCCTGCAATGACCCGCCGCCTACCGTGTGTACTATGGGCTTAACATAAGGTTACCTGGCGAAGGGTACCTGGCTGGATTTAGAATGAGAGCAGGCCGTGTGCAGGAGTATGGCGCTGTGCAACTGCTGCTGCTGCTGCTGCTGGTGTGGAGCACCTGGCTGCCCCTCGTCCAGGCTATATTTGAAGATATCGGGGTCACCCCCGTCAATACCGCTGCACTTCAACTGGGTGAAATATCCTTCATGCAGTATGTCTTGGGTTGCATAGTATTCCTGCAGTTGGTGATACTGTACACGAAGGGCGTGTTGCCAGTCGAGATCGACCTGAGCTTCGACAACCCCAACGGAAGCCTCGTGGGCAGGGCGCGCAGACCTGATGCCACCGTGAGTCTCCTCAACATTCCACTCAATTTCAGAAACCTAATTACTTTTACCTTTCAGTATTTGTTTCTGTAAGGTCCTCTCATCTATATACAATAACGATATACACCAGCCTCACTAAGGTCAGGTGGCGTAGGTGGATTGAAATTTAAATTGAAATAAGTTTATTGACGTAAAATACACACAAAGGGATTCGTAGGTGGATGACCCGGCGTAGTGTAGGATAGTAGAAGCGATCCCAGGACGATAATTGGGATTACTTTATTGTCTGAAGTTATGTAAACAAGTGTTATCTCAACTTCATCAGTTTCAATAGTTTTGTTATGCAAACAAAAACTTGACATTGTAGGTAATAAATGAAGAAATGCGATATATATTTTGCAACTTATAATGGTGAACGTGTAGAATGGTTGGTTGGTGTCCTCCAGTAACAACACCCTGACAGGTGTCGGGAATCAGGGGAGGGAAGCCCTGATTCCCTCCCTCATTTGGGGAGGGAATCAGGGGCGATGTGAGACGTCACGAGCCCAACTTGACGTCGCAACAGCGTGCTAAGCAACACCAATGACGTCATAGCTAACTGCTCGCCGGAGTGTGGGTGATAATATTGTATTACACGACCTTCATGCCTATCTCGAGTGTTATTATCTTAACATGTGTAACTGTTGTAAATTATGGTTTCCTCAACCACTTGGGGTGGACGGTAGAGCGACGGTCTCGCTCCATGCAGGTCGGCGTTCAATCCTCGACCGTCCAAGTGGTTGGGCACCATTCCATCCCTCCCCGTCCCATCCCAAAATCTTATCCTCACCCCTTCCAAGGGCTATATTGTCGTAGTCGTATCTACGTCGTATCTTACGGGCTATTCATGCCCGTGCCACCTCTTGGGTGGCTTAATCTTTATCTACGTCGTATCAAGGTTAGACCTATTGTCTTGTGTATGATCCTCTGCCCTGCGTGACAGCGAATTATTATCCTCACTCTAATAAGACTTAATGGAATTCCTCAGATTAAGCAAAATTGCAATTAATTTTTGTCAATAAAGATGTTAATAATAAACTTGACTCATTTTCATTGCGGTTTTCGAACAAAAAGAACACGAACTGCGTGAAGGCATGGCTAAAGTATACTCATTCAGATCCAGAAGGTTAAATAATATTTTAGTGAATTTACCTGAGGGCCACTTAACACTCAAGCGACATCGACAAGGACAGCCAGCCGCCGGCTTGTCAAAGGTTTCTTCCCCCCCCCCCATTTGTCCTACCTTGAGGTTACCCTGAGGTGCTTCCGGGGCTTAGCGTCCCCGTGGCCCGGTCGTCGACCAGGCCTCCTGGTTGCTGGACTGATCAACCAGGCTGTTGGACGCGGCTGCTCGCAGCCTGACGTATGAGTCAGCCTGGTTGAATAACATTTTTGTCTTGATTCGTTTCGTCGGGGACAGGCAGCCTGCGTATATAATTACATGTTAGGCTTGTATCGAGATCCACCCCTTCTCCCCTCTAGGCCAACTACTGACCTTTCCTACGATGTAACACATAACAGTTGCCCTAACTCCGGGGGACAGCTTTACTGCTAGGAGAACAGAGGCATTTGGTGAAAGGAAACGTACTCAACCATTTCAATTCAGCCCGGGATTCGAACCCGAGATTCCTGATTGAGTCGAGAACGAATTAATTTGTACTACCGATAAACTTAATCAGTAGGCTATTGTTATGGCCTTAATAACCCACCAGAGATTGACAGGCCTTAATAACCCTTCAGAGGTTGATAGGCCTTGATACCCGTTCAGAGGTTGATAGGCTTTAATAACCCTCCAGAGGTTGATAGGCATTAATAGTCCGAATTTCGACACACACACTTTAGTTTAGTTCATTTATTATGCACCCCATACCCATCTTGTGGGCGGTAGTGGAAAGGGTTACAGAGGCACACACACACACACACACGACCAGACTTTGCAAGTAATCCCATACTTTAAAATCATTTCAAAACTCATAACTGCACAGAAAAAAAACGATCACATTATCGAGCACTACAACCATTGGCTCATATTATTTAAAAAAACAAGTTAGACAAGACGTGAAATATTGCCATGAAAGCATTCCGTAGAGTAGCAGAGTAGAGATTATAGTAGACGTCTCAGAGGAGTGGCGCAACTGAGGCTAGGTATCGATACGGCGGAATATTGATGTGAGTCAACCCGTTCTCCTAATAACACGACACATTTTGACGTTCACTCTAAGGCCAAAAATGGTCGTACTTGAAAATGGTAGCGCGTGCCGAAATTGACATACTGTCCCGTTTTCTGTTTGGGGTCCTCTGGTAGATTAGGATAAAGGCATTTTAGTACGACACTTTCTTGAAGTTGGGAAAGCTTAGGAGGACGGGCTGTGTGAAGGTGTTGGTTGTCCTCGCTTGCTCCGGAAACATGAAATTTGTTATTCGTCTTTTTTTTAATTTGTTTTGTTTTCGAGGGTTTATACCTTACCTTGAGGTGCTTCCGGGGCTTAGCGTCCCCGCGGCCCGGTCGTCGACCAGGCCTCCGAATAGAATCCTATTGTGGATTCCAAGTCTTATTCATGTGGATTCCATGTCATATTGACCTCAGAATGCATGATGGGAACAATGAGTCGGCTAAAGCACATCTCCACAAGAAGAGTTCATTATAATCCTGAATTAACAATAGTCTGAATAAAACAATGCACTATTCTTTTCTATCGATCTCGCCTACGAGCTCTTCCGCATATCATCATCCTATTAATTTAGTAAACTCAGTAGACTTCTCTATGTAAGAATTGGTCTGACGCACTGATCTGTTTGTTAAGTGCTAGCGGTGACAGACTGACCTGTTTGTAGTGTCCTAGCCGTAGGTGAGCCTAGTGTATAAAGGACCTGGCATGCGGGTCGTGTACACAGGACCTGGCTGGCTGGTCATGCACTCAGGGTGTCTCCCACCCCCGCGAATACTGACGAAGCCCCAGACATGGCTGCGTCTTTAAACGACAACATCTAGCGTAACCTACAGTGGACGCTGTTTACTGCGGGCGAATAACGAATCTCGTTTAATATGCTATCAAATACAATTGCACTTAGGGACAATGTAGGAAGACCTATGTAACGTAGTCATTGTTTCTTACGATATATTATGGAGGGTGCTGTTGGGGCCACTGTCCTCCGGTATAGTGCACTGATTGTCGCTGGAACTGTTTTTCAGTTGAGTGTTTGAGGCGTGGTTTTGTTTGCCAGTGAGTGTTTGAGGCGTGGTGTTGTTTGCCACTAAGTGTTTGAGGCGTGGTGTTGTTTGCCAGTAAGTGTTTGAGGCGTGGTGTTGTTTGCCAGTGAGTGTTTGAGGCGTGGTGTTGTTTGCCAGTAAGTGTTTGAGGCGTAGCTCTGTTTGATATCTTTCCTTGGTGATTGTCTGGTCTGTGTTTAGCCTAACCTGGTGATTGTATGGTCCATGGTCAGCCTACCCTATAGATTGTTTTGTATGTAGTCAACCTTCCCTGGTGATTGCCTAGTTTGTGAGGCTTGGTCTTCGTAGCCCGGAGACCCATAAAACCATCACAGTCAGGCTGATCCGAGTGCTCGGGTATGATGAGGTCATTAAGGTGTAATTGCGAGACCGGAGAACCTATATTGACGAATCATCAACGCAGCACGGAGTATCTTGCCCTATTATACCTCCCTCTGTATATGACAGAAAGCGAATCAGAATGTGTTGTTAAAGCCTACTCTTTTTATCGGTATTACCTCTGTGACGTTAACATTTTAGTCTTTTCGCGACTAATTAGCTTAGGCCTTGATATGCTATAGAGATGTTGCGGACGGTAACAGCATACAGATTGATCGCTTGTCACAGGCTCAGGATCGGTTAGTTTATTTTGCATGCAGTGAGATCTTCCTCTCATAGAGGGGGGCCGGGGCTGCCCTGAGTTGTGAGTGCCTGAAGGTGTTATACTCCTATATCTCAGGGCCGCTATGACCTCCCTCCTTCGCCCTTTTCCCGCGTGTCTTACCTGATCACTGAGTCTGTTGCTACTGTTGCTCTGTTGGTGATTATTGTGGTTTCTGTTGTACACCTGTTCATATCAAGGCGTTATATGTCTATATTTAGCGGGTGAGAGAGAGAGTACCGGGTGTAAGAGTTGTAAATCTTAACTTGTCGTTTGTCTCCAGCTGGCGACGCCGACCTTCCTGATGGAGTGTCCGCTGCAGTACGTGTGTGAGGTGGACGCCTGGGCCAACCGCGACCACGACTTCTTCCTCGAGAAACTTCTCGCCTCCTGGTTCAGGTAAGGCCTTCAGCTGGAGCTCGTTATGGTCTCGCTTGGTGATTTATGATGATTCGTGTTGACCTGACCACACACTAGAAGGTGATGGGACGACGATGTACCCAATCGACTTGAGAATGGTCCAGGACGGACCGAAACGTCGTCGTCCCTTCACATTCTAGTGTGTGGTCTGGTCATCTTCCTCTTTTCCAATCTAATCTTTCATCCAAGGTGCTGTCACTGGTGTTAATAAGGTCGCACTTCACTCTGCGAATACTTAATGTTTCCACATTGCCGCCATCCTGTTTCACCGGAATATTGCACCACAATTACCTGGTGCTTAGTCATGGCAAGCACTAAGTCCAACACCAGTGATGCTTTACCTTCCCTCGGCAGTGAGGCTTTCTTTATGTGCTGCTGTCTAAATGCCTTCAATATTTTATCAGACATTGGTTTGCTCATCAGTTGTCTGTACTGTAATCATAAACCTGTCTGTTCACCTTAGTTATAATCCCCAACTATAATTTTCCTTGTGTTTTCTGAGACTGAGAGGGAAAGATCTGGTGTTACTGCAATATCTTCTCCTTGTTAGTGTTAACATGAGTGGTAGATCTATCTCTTCGCTGCCAGAGATCAGGAAAACACTTATCGTAACCTCGTTACCTTCCACAGGAACGCCAACCACACGTGGACCCACCCAGAGGCCGTTACCTTCGCTGGTGCAGGCACATGCAGGGAAATGTATCCTTGCCCCTTCGATGTGCAGGAAGTGGTGGGCATCCGGATCCCAGGGTCCAACAGTCTTGCCAGTACACAAGAAGAGACTTACTCCAAGTTCTTTACAGAAACTATTGGTATGCGGCAGGAGCCTTGGCTCTAGCGCTACAAGCAACACTGGGAAGGAGTCCTGCTGCCTCTTTCAGATATCTGGGCATGCTTCCGAGCAGGCATCATGGTGGTGTGGCGTGTGGTACTCACAGACTAAGGCCATCTTGTAGGAGGCGCGTCTCGCCCACGTCCCCTACGCCCATATAATATTCCTGGGAGGGTACAATGCCATAGACACTGATAAAGATGGCGTACAGTTCTGTGAGAGACCACAGCAACAGTTATCCGGAATATATCCTTCAGAATGTCATGAGACCTGGACACTCGGTGTAGCCTAAATATCCCGTACCATAGTATCATTTGTGGCACAAAATATGTTATGGGTTTTGATATGTTAATCCTCCAGGTATCATTTGTCATCTCTACTTGGACTACAGAGGTGGTGGCTTGTTTTTGTTATAAACGGAGCCTGTAGGTGCCCAGTGTGATGCCCCGCACTCGAACGCTGTTGTGCGTAGTCGCTGGCACCACAGCTGGCACCACAGCTGGCACCACAGCTGGCACCACAGCTGGCACCACAGCTGGCACATTCATGCCACAGACCAGTGCCTTGTGTTATTGTCTTCACACGTGAACATCAAGCGCCAAAGAAGCGAAAATATAAATATAACTATTATCATAAAAAGAAGAATCGGCGCTAATCACCTATTACGGCTTCATAACAAGGGCTGAAAGGCGTGAACTTCCAGCTCTGGACGAGTGATGGAACTAGGGAGGATTATTGAGTGCTCGCCTCAGCCCTGGACGAGTGTTGGAACTAGGGAGGATTATTGAGTGCTCGCCTCAGCCCTGGACGAGTGTTGGAACTAGGGAGGATTATTGAGTGCTCGCCCGAGCCCTGGGCGGGTGTTGGAACTAGGGAGGATTACTCTGGGTGCTCGCCTGCCCAGCAAATCAAGCTGTTGTGTATGGTGAATACGTGAAATTATCTCACCATCTATTTATGTGTATTTGTGAAAGCCGAGGCGTGACTTACTGGCTCCAGCGGCCGCAGTTCTGGTCCAATAATGTTGAGATTCCAGGAGCCACACTCTAGTGAACTTTTGCACCTTCAGTAACTAAAACAAATTACATACGACGTCCAAGGGACGATAGAGTCCAAGAGGACGATAGAGATGTACCGAAAAGTTGACTTCATTTTACGGTATACATGTACACTCATAGTTTCTTTAGTCCTGGACCATGTTCAGGACTGAAAATATAATTGCTGATTGCTCAGTGAGCTCTTGTGGTGGCCTTAATAACCCCTCGAAGGTTAATAGGCCTTAAACACAAAAAAGACAATCCCCCCCTCCCCCCAAAAAAATCGAGAATGTGCAATATTTGCATCTCGAAGCCTCTCCATTCCTCATTGATCACAGCTGCTTCACCTCCACGTCGCATTTCCTGCTATTTTGGTAACGCATGATAATGTATTACTTTTGTTGTATTATGTCACCAAATTTTTGTTTAATTTAAATGTAAACCAATTCTGCCAAACGTTTGACTAGAGGTTCTAACTAGTGTATGTTATGTATACAAGTTCACCCATACACTCTTATGTGATGTACACCAAACAATTATGAAAGTTAAGCATTTTCATACGTTCTTATTGTGAACTCTTCACAGTTAAATGATGCTGACCAATGAACGAACTGTTGTTGTTGATTTAGGGGCGACGGTGATCGCCATGAACGAACTGTAACGAGTCCAATGTTTAGGTATTGTGATATATTTATATCGGTTTCCACCAATCACAGGAGCTCTTGTTTTAGGCCAATCATGGGTCCGCTTGCTTAAACCAATCACAGGAGCTCTTGTGTTAGGCCCATCATGGGTCCTCTTGCTTAAACTAATCACAGGAGCTCTTGTGTTAGGCCAATCATGGGTCCTCTTGCTTAAACCAATCACAGGAGCTCTTGTGTTAGGCCAATCATGGGTCCTCTTGCTTAAACCAATCACAGGAGCTCTTGTCTTAGGCCAATCATGGGTCCTCTTGCTTCGACCAATCACAGGAACTCCTTTTTTGTATGTCATTAAGCTGTGAACAAATAATAAAATCATAATGATTGTATTTTTTATTTACACCTGTAGTATAATTTACAATACACACAAAAGAGTATCCATAACCATAAATCAGTTATGCATACAGATGTGAGATATTCATGTTGCAATATCAATATGAACTTGTATACACATAAAAGTTATACATTTTTACACATTTGTCGTAAAGACAAAAGTTAGGGTAACCTATAGCAAGAATATTATGAGAGATTTAGTGTAGAGTATAGCAGTAATATATATTATATGCTATGGTCCTGTGGCAACTTGTTCTCAGGCCAGGACAAGTTGACAAAATAATGTGTTGTTTCAGATTTAGCTACTCAGAACGAAATATCCATGTGGCACAGGCTATGGTCAGCCCGTAACTCTAGGGGGCTCAAATAATGTGTATTAACAAGTTATATGTATAGTTAAGTGTAGGTTAGGTTAGGTATTTAGGTTCTCTTGGCGATTACTTGTATTTGTAGTATGTGGGTGAAGCATTTACAGAGTTGCGTACTATAAATACAAATAATATCACCCACGTACTATAAATGAAAATAATCGCCAATAGAACCTAAACACCTAACCTAACCTACGCCTAACTATACATTGAATTTGTATTTATAATAATAATAATTTATATATGAGAACAAACAATTTTTTAATACACAGTATGTTAAAATTGATGAATGCGTCTGAGGAAGACGGTCCGTGCTTTAAACAGCCTAGTGTGAGGACGGGTTGCTTCAAATACAAATAATCGCCAACAAAGCCTAAATACCTAACCTAACTTACGGTTAGCTATACAGGGTTTTAATTTATAATAATATTAACTTATATATGAGAAGAAATCTATTTTTAATACACAGTTTGTTCAAATTTATGAATGCGTTTGGAAGGGAGGGGACGGTCGCGCCTTTTCGAGCCGAGCTTGAGGACGGGCTGGTAAGGAGCATTTGGCCTTTATGAGGAAGAGCTGAGTTTTGCTTTACATAGGGTAGCTAGAACTGGCTCGGGACGTCGAGTGCTTGAACGAGACTAAATGTGGAAACTGTCTCCTTACAGTTTTATTAGTGTAACTAGTAAATCATGAGCCGGTGTGCTGAGGCTGCTCGCTTTTCCTCCCTCCAGCTGAGGTGAAGACACGAGTGCTGGACCACGGTGGGTGTTGCTCCAGTTGTTCACCACGGTGGGTGCTGCTCCAGTTGTTCACCATGGTGGGTGCTGCTGGCGTTGTTCACCTGCTCCTACCACCGTTGCATATGGTGAGTGATGAACACTTTATTTTCGCCGATAATGGTTGGAGATTATTAAAACTCTCAACAATGCGCGTGCGCATTTTTAAGCGTCTGCCGACCACGTGAAACTTTTCCTTGGTCTCGTAACCACTGCATGACCCAACCACTCGTTTATACCATGCAAACACATTACTCTTCATAGAGCCACGGAATAACAGAATGTTCACTTGTTTATCAACACTGTGCGGGGCATACTCTACGTAGACCAAGTTCTCAGGCGACCAAACGACTCGTCGGGATCTCGAACCCATTGTTGATGTGACGACGTATATTGAATTTTGTTACTAGCTCATCAAGATTGTAACTTGCTTAGCTAAATGAATTGTGGGGTTCAGTCCCTGAGCCCATTATGTGCCTCTGTAACCCTTTTCACTGCCGCCCACAAGATGGGTATGGGGTGCTTAATAAATGAACTAAACTAAACGGGAAAATGAACAAACTACGACGTTTCGGTTCGTCCTGACCATTATCAAGTCGTGTCCTTAATAATGGTCCAGAACATTTAGTTCTTCACAGAGTGTCTTAAATAACGCCGGGTCCTGTAGGCCAGTTCGTGAGCTCCGAAGCACTTAGCAAGCTGTCTATAACAATAATATCCTTGGCTTATGAACGACCTCGCAGTGTTTCCAAGCTTGTTACCTTTTTATAAATACAAAGCCGCCATGATTGAAGAAAGATGTACAGGTTTCTTAAGTGGACACGAAAATGTTTAATGAATCCTGGTCCAGCGGCCGGATTCATCAAACAGTTATGCAAGTAATATACTTGAGAACCTGTACATCTTTTCTCAGTCTTTGGCAGCTTTGTTTACATTTATTAAACAGTTTATGAGCATCGAAACTTCCCAATCAACTGTTATTATTGTTATAAACAGCCTCCTGGCGCTTCAGAGCGCAAAACCTGTTTAATGTATGTAAACAAAGCCACACAAGATTGAATGAAGATGTACAGGTTCGTCAGTACTTGCGTAACTACTTGATAAATGTTGATCCTGGACCTTAGGCCGCGTAGGCGATCATCCAGTAAACAATATTGAAGATCATGAACACTACCATCATGAAGACCTTGGCGAACTTCTCGGCCGTCCAGAGAGTCACGCCGAACTTACACCGCTTCATCATTAGCACCTTCTGCCGGCAGTTGATTAAGTCTCTGGATTTGCGGGAAATTTTCGAGTACTCGGCCATTTCCTCCAATATTTGGTCCCTTGCAGACTTCCGAGGAGCGGATTTGTGTCGCTGGAGAGGTTCCTGTAGCTGCCACGGGTACCGGTCCGCCTCCTGCTGCTGGTGGTGGTGGTGGGAACGGAGGTGGTCCCTGCCTATACGAGGCAAAAAGATTTTTTCAGATAATGGCGCTTTCTTCTCACTGAACTTTGTTGTTGTGGTGAAGCTTTGTCTCTTGACCTCCTTTAAGAGCAGGTCTATAATGATGTGGAAAACTATAATGAAAAACGTGGAAAATATGCAGAAGAGGAGCCAGATGTCGACCAACTTGAAGTAGGACGTCTTTGGCAGAGAGGCCGCCACCTGTGGGGCACAAAATACTAGTTACTGTTAAGGAGAAGAGATACACCTTACCCTATACTTTTACCTGAGAAGTCATAGCTATGTCATGGGTAGTTGTGGGATACACTAACCTATTAAAGAAAGGTTTTGGTTTGGTTTATTTTCAGATAAGTAATGAACTTTTAGATGTAATTCATGCAAGGTGGCATCGAACAAAATGACTGAATAGCGACCGCGCGCGCGCGTGTGTGTGTGTGTGTATGTATGTATATATGTATGTATGCATGTATGTGTTTTACGGCTTTTCTTGGTGGGGGAGCGTAAGGAATCATTCCATTCAATTTTTGTTTCCATTTCGTAGTTATTAGAGAGGTAATAAACAGTTTAACACGCTCTAAGCGCAGCCACTATACCAAACCAGTACTCTATACCAGGACATAATGGCAGACCCCGCCAGCGTCTCTCATCTCAACACTCGTCTTTCCTTCTCTTGTCCTCCTCAGCTCTGAGATTCCATTGCCCGAGTCACTTCCCACCGCCAACTTACCCTCTGCTTTCCAGCACAATCTCTTCCTTTGTCTACGACACAGCCCACAGTAACACTACCTACGGTGCTCCGCTGCTGGTGCCTGTGTTCACAGTCATGAGACTGTGACCTGCCTGTCAATATCGACCTCTGCCTGGCTCACCACTCAGCGTTAACAAACATGTTGGAGGACCGACAAGCATGGCTCGAATTCCAATTTGGTTTAGGGGGGCGGAGTATAGCAACTTGGCGTCAAATTTGGTTTAAGCAGATCGAAATATAGCAAGTTTGGCTTCAAATTTATATTAGCGGGTTCAAAACACTATACGTCTGGCTTCAAATCCCTTATCAAGTTAAGAAAATACATTACTAGGCAAACAAAACGGCAGTAAAATTATAATAAAACTCAACGGAGGACGTTAAAATGAGTTGTCGTTATTGTATACAGGTATTTACGTTTAAATTGTCAATAAACAAACTAGGACATGTGTAGGTGCAAGTACAACCTACACATGTTAAGAATAATACTGTAAAAATGCTTTTGATAATTACTTACTGTGAAAATTTCATCGTAAATTATTGTATGGATTGTGATGGTTACACTGTATTTTAACATATACCTGCCCGAGCTCAGTGCCAAGCACAGACAGTAACTTGTACTCTGTAACACAGTTCTCTGTAACTTGTCTTCCGAGTTCTCTGTGGGCGAGAAGGAATGTCACGCACATCTCTGGAAAGTGCTGGGGGCCACCGGTGAGCATTGCATGTTAAAGTAACGTTAAATCAACGTATGATCAACATTATCAATGATGATTCAGTGTTACATAACGTCGTTTGGCCATATTTATCCGGGGGACGAGAGGAGGGTAAAGCGAGGCTATAGAGAATGGGTCTGAGCCGCCTACTGCGGTAATGTCCAGCCCAGCTAGGGTACAAGGAGCAGGGTGTCTGTGAAGCAGGACTGGACGTACTTGAGGTGCTGGCCAGTATTCCGTCCAGCTTGGCATAGTGTCCAGCTTGGCATAGTGTCCAGCTTGGCATAGTGTCCAGCTTGGCATAGTGTCCAGCTCCGTACTGATCAGTAATTCTCAGATTTATCTCATTCTTGATGAGGTATCCGGCGGTGCCAGGGGGCTCTGTCGTCCTCCCATTCTCTCTCCTTCCCTCCCTCTCACCCCCTCCCAGCCTGTCACCCCCCCTTCCTCCCTCTCACCCACTCGGCTTTGTCAAAATAACGTTGCACGTTGAGGCCCCATCACTAAGCGGTCTATTTTCAGCTTAGTTATTTCTATATCAAGGCATTGATTTATTTCTAAGTAAAACGCATAAATAGAATATTGGTCCGTCTCTATTACTTTTTTTTCTCTTGACTTGATTCTAAATTTGACGCCATATATATTTTATTTGCCTAGGGGCCACCATCCCTAATGGGCTCGTAGGTGACAAAAAGCCGGCGGCTTATCAAAGATGTCCCTGTTATTCGTGAGGATTATTTTTCCAGTTGAATTTTAAACTGGGGTACTGTCTTGGGAATTATATCTTCGGTGGGCAGGTGTACTCACCTAATTGTGCTTGCGGGGGTTGAGCTCTGGCTCTTTGGTCCCGCCTCTCAACCGTCAATCAACTGGTGTACAGGTTCCTGAGCCTACTGGGCTCTATCATATCTACACTTGAAACTGTGTATGGAGTCAG